AAGAGGAGGGACATCTATGATCTATAAAGGGTTATCGTAACACGCGGACTTCCTCACTTCGATCCCCCCCCCCTCCCCCCCCAGTCCAGATCAATCTGCCTCGCCAAACCCATCGACCATCCATGCTGTGCACATGAGACAATCTACCTTCGCGATCCGACGATGCCCCGGCCTGGACTGGCAGCTGAAGCCATCCATTCACACGCTGTCGCATTGTTCGCCATTCTTGTCCTAGCTCGGTCCGCCTTGCCCAAAACCTATTCCATCCTCTCTCTGCTCTCGTCTCACACTGCCGCACAACGTCATGGCCCATGCTGGCGAAATCCTGCATCTTCCCTATTTCTCACCTCAGCACACTCTTCTTTTGTTCCATGATGACAAGCCTAACATGCTCTGCTCGAGCCGCCGTGCTACTTGAAGCTTACAGGCTCACATGCTTGCCATTCGCTACACATACATATGTGGATGGATGGACCCACGTCCGCTCTCGCTTTTCTAAACCTACGCTATGTCTGCATGACTACCGTACATGTTGGCTGCCCAGGTCCGAGCTCTCTGTCACCCTGGCCCTGAGCGCCCTAGTACAGCGAACCTGTCTCGGGCCCAGCAAAGGCGAAGATACCGAATCGGCTTCGGGATGAAGGACATATTCAACTTTCAATCATGTCGCCTGCCATGGTTGCAGATCTGGTCGTTTTGCAATGAGACAATCTCGAGTCTTCTGTCATCAATTCCAAACGATCAGGAGCGGTAGGTAAATCCGTCATTGGCGAATGCCTGTATGCCATCAGCCTTGGCTGGTGGGCATTTCCAGCCAGCTCTACCGTTGTCCTCCTTTCTCTGTACCCTGCCCTTGACTCCTGGTATGACAAACACTCTAAAAGCATAGATTTGCTACAGTCTGGTGATTTCTGGCACGTCATGCTGTACTGGTGCATTGCTCGGAAAGGTAGCGACCGGAAAAACACAAAGTTTTGGGTTCCTGCATTCGAGCTTACACTCTTTGTGTCTGTCTGAGTCATGTTTGATAGGACATTGGGATCAGACGCGAAAAGAAGAGGAATTCGAACGTGCCAAAGTATCGGGTCCTGGATTTGCTGAAAGTAAACTCCGTCTCCTGGTACCTGGGCTCTCGATTCTAACCGAAAGTTCAGGCGGCCATCCAACACTAGGTAGGCCAGTATCCAACTACCTACATGTCCGTTTGCTTTCGCCAATATTCAGAATGAAGTCAAGGTCCCTCCTCAAGAGCATTACGGACAGATTTCCCTGGTACATTTCATAGCGACCTCTAGCTTATTAGCAAAATGCATCGTCACACTGCGCCTTCCGCAATGGTCAGAAAACGCAACTAAGACTTCTTAGCATGATATAGAGAGTCAGAGCCTTACTTGTCCCTGCTTTCAGCGCCTCTGGACTACCTTGCCAGCAACCATCATGCTGGTACCAGCAGAGAAACAGCTAGCGAGCCAACCAGCACACATCTCTTCCTCAGCCTTGCTCGTTGTTATGTAGCTCAAGCAACGAATTACTATTGGAGCATAGTTTCCGGGTAACGGAACGAATGGTTTGAAGACGTACCCAAACTGGCGTTCATTACCTCACAGCGCCTTGGCGTATGCATAGTGTTTCTACTCTACACACAGGCAAGCGGCAAGCCCAGCTAGGCGATAAAACGCTCTCCGAAACGACAAAATAGGATTTGCTGTTGGGTGATGCTGGGAAGCTTGCTGATTCTGGTGAGCTTCGTCTTGATGGCCTGGGTTGATGCTTGATGCAGGAGGCCATGGCCGGTACGATCCATATGGCTCACTGATGTGATCTAGAATCTGTAGACTTGTTCCGACATAAGGCTACACCATAGGCTAATGCTACGGCAAACTCAATGTCCGGTGGATTGACATTAGCATGGCTTCTTCTACGACTACACATTCATTCAGAATCAGGACGATAGAGACGAGGATCACGTTCTCACAGGCACTCCTTCCCTACAGTATTCTGTACACATTCGTCGATGAAATGTTACCATTTTATCAAAGTCTATCCCATTTCCACAACAAAGACTGGCTCTCTGTAGTAGGAGGAGGCACGAGTGGTGACTGAAGAGCCGACAAAAACGCCAAGAGCCCCACTAGGTACCGTAGCGCTAACGTCAGGTTAGTCGCAGCTGTCACAACTCCGGCATCGCTTCCTTTGTAACGACACTCGTTCTCTTATATTGACATTCAGGCCTCGGCTGGCTTCGATGCTGCACAATTTTGCTGTAGCCCCCCACCATGGTGGTCCTGTTCGACCTGGAAGACGTTGATGGGCCCACCGTCAAGCCGCTGCACCACCCCTCACTGTCTTGGGTGGAGGCGGAGACGGGGCAGAGGGTAAGGGAGGCAAAGACGTTGGGGGATGCGAGGGATGCAAAGGAGACGGACTTGGTGGGCAATGCACGCGGAGCAGACGAAGCAGAGGAGAGAGCGAACCCCAATGTGAATGGATTCAGCGCCGCCTTGAGCTGTTATCCGTGAGCCAGAACCAACACGCGCAAGGACAAGACTCCGCGCCCTGATGGATGCTGACCGCAGCCACGGCATACAGAATCGTGAGACAGCTGGCCAGCCAGCTCGACCTCAACACGCTGCATGCCTTGTCGCGCACGTGCAGGCAGTTTCGCGCGAATCTGCTCGAGTATCGCAGCCAGCTCGTCAAGCACACGCTGCACTGCAGCAACGAAGGCCCCGCGACCGGGCCTACATCAGCGCATCAGCTGACCAGCGGTCGCGTTGGCATTTGTGCCCGCGACATGGTGGGTGAATGCCAGCGCTGTGCGACGGTCGTGTGCCGGGTAGGATGGCCCGTCTCCTATTCTTGTTTCTTATTCCTGCTCCCCTACTTGTTTCCTTTCCTGTCTACTAGATCTTCTGCTTCCAATGTCTCTCCATGGCCCAAGGTACTTGACCAGCCGCTAATCCAAAGGCCACGCAGAATTGCACCATGAAACCTCCGCCAACGCCAACACTGCGTGCCCGCCACCGTCGCCTATGCCGCACGTGCTCCAAGGCCCCGCTGGTTCTCCATCTGGCCAGCGGGAAGCACCGCGGACCACTGTCTGCCTCGGCCGCATCATCGGCATCTAGCTCCCCTGACTCACAGCCCTTCTTGCTCAACCACATGGACCAGCCCCGTGCATTCACGGCCCCTGCCTTTGAACGAACGCCTTGCAACTGTGACAACGTGGTTTGGCTATGCAGCCCATGTGGCAAAGACCTCAAGAATGCCGATACCATGTACGTCCGTGGCTGGAGCTGGCGCACCCGATACAGTCACTATCTGGGTGGTGTTGGCACCGGGGCCGGTGAAGGCAACGAAGGTGTCGAATGCGGCAGAGGCAATACGTGTCTCGGCGCACGTATTGTTGAGCACGAGACCTGTCAGCAAGACATTCTCGATGCACTCGAGAAAGAAAACATAGCCCACCCCGAATCCCCGGAGCGCTGGAGAGGCACCAGCTACCTTGCCCAAGAGATAGAGGGCATTGGTGGCGTGCTCAAAGTCAAGCACAAGAAGCAGGTGCGCGTCGGAGAGTGTGTCAAGCTCTACGAGGACGAACGCGAGAAGTCAATACAATATCTCGAGCGCGAAGTCACGGGGAAACTTCGGAGCTGGTGCTCTTGGTGCGACAGAGTCGTCTTAGGGGAGAAGGACGAAGTTACTTCAGACGGGCTGACACGAGTTCCTAGCACATCTAGCTTCTCTTCGTCTACAAGTCAGGGCCCTCACATGATGCCTAATCCAATGCCAGCGAGGTGATTTGTTTATGGAGTTTGCGGGATAACAGTGTTGTCCCTCGACATCTGAGCGGAAAGTAGATCTTCCACAAGACCAAGTTCATACTATAATGATGAGCTTTGGACCTTGAAACAATTCGAAACGATCGCTTTGCAATATTTGCCAATTTTATCAATCCAAATTTACCACTGACAATAACACACTGTAGCACTTTAAATGCACTGACAGACAACGGATCGACACTGCCATATCCATTTACAATCTCTCCTCCAATTGGCACTCCGCTTAATCAGATAATTACAATAAACCAAAATCTAGAGTCCTGGCGAACCCTTCCGGTCGTTCCTCACCCAAAAGCAAGTGTCGATTTAAGATTTGGTCCGAGCCTGAAATCGTCATTGATGATACAAATTGCAGCTACGAGTATCAATCTTAAACTGTCTTCTACTGCTAGAGCCCATGCCCTGAGTCTAGGCCTTCCCACCTGTACAACATTACCTATGTAAGCCTTGGACCCCCATTTTTCTCTATAAACAGGTCACTGTGGGGCCACTCCCCACATTATCATCAAAAAAAAGTTGGGCTGAGATATCACCGCAGCAGACATGTAGGGGGGTTTCACGAGAAGCCCAGGGGCCACGGTTGCGCAAGTGAAGACGAGATTCACAAATGACAATGAGAGAACAGTGCTGTTCAATTCCGAAAGGTGCGAGACTTCATCGCCATCATCACCAATCATGACTTAGGAAAAGGAAGATGGGAAAATCTTTTGGATTGATAGTATATACACGAACTAACTGTAACTCACCCCTTCCCAACCACATGCCATTTTCTTCCCTCACATCAAGCCTTCTATAAACTCTACTGTCCAAACATATAAGTAGGAATAACAATATCCGAGACCACCCATGTCTTGCCCCCATCGCTCGTCGTCATATCACCAACCACACCCCGGTCCTTCCTCAATGTGCCAGAATAGCCTCGGTTTGGCTTGTCCAGCGTGATCTTCGTATCAATCCATTTGTGCTCTGGAATCGTTCCGCAGTCGGTAGCCTGACACTCGACCGCACTGCCCCATCCCTCGGCGTGTCCGCTGTTGGTGGAGAGCGTGGAGACCTGGCGGCCGTTTACGAGGACCGTTTGTGTGTAGTTTTGGGAGCGGTCGTCGAATTTGTCTGCAGAAAAAGAGAAAGAAATGATTAGCATTAGTTGCTTTACCCTGGCCACTAACTCTAGCTAACAGCCTCTCTCCACATTAAAGGGTGGAAAAATTCAGAAGTTCACTCACAATGCATAGTGACCCTATCCTCCGCATTCGCATCCTCTCCAGGCGCCGCTACCGGCTCCTGCGTCCCATCACCTTTCAAAACTAATGTGTATGCGAAAATGCTCCATTGCGGGCGACCGGTGTTGTCAGCAATGGATTGGATGAGGTCGCCCTTGGTTGTGCCCATGCCCACCCAAAGTGACACGGATCCACCGTTGCCACCCTTGGGGAGAATCAGAGTGGATGTGGCTTCGCGGATGAAGGTGCCCTTTTGCCCGGTGCTAAAGGCGGGGCCAAAGGCTGCGCTGGCGGTGCCGGCGATGGCTGCGAGGGCGATGACGGATAGGGAGGAGAAGGAAGGCATGGTGGTGGTGGTGTAGTGTGGAGTGGGTTATTGTGGAAGGATGAAGTGGAGTGATAGATATGGAATATGCAGTCTCATTTATAGTCACCTTTCAACTCGTATTTACAGCTAGTTCCACTATCTTTCTCGTTCCTCTAACAAAGCCACATTCTGCCTCGGAGTTCACTCTTTTCTATTCCTCCCCAATGAAACCCCCCCCTCCCATGATAAGGGTGTTGAGTGAGAGCCATTCACACCTCTC